AAATCTATTTTAATTTTGTTAATTAATAATTATAAAAACAAGATATGTATAAGATATTTATATAATATTCTATATAATATTCTAATGAGATCAAATTATAACTTCAAAATGATCTATGAAATTTTCTTTTTTTTTTATTTAATCATATATCATCTCTTAAAGGACAACATGTCTAAAGGATGTCAAGAAAATAAATTATAAAAATAGGATCATCTTTATTTAATAAGACTTATATATTATTTTATATAAAAAATAAATTTTCTATCGATATTATGAAACTACAAAATATTTTAATTAATTTTACAAAATTTAATATATAAAAATAAAAAAGACATAAAATGATATAAATATGCATATATGTATTTTTTGTTAAATTTTATATAATTAAAACTAAAACATCTTTCAAATAAATAATCTTAAGATATTATTTTAACTTTCTTTTGTAAGAATAAATAAACACATCAGTTAATATAAAATATGTTCTAATATTATAAAATATTATAATATTATATATTATAAAATATTAGTACATACATCATTTAAAATTTCTGTTTGAAAAAAAAGGGACAACTTCCAAATTTTAAAATGTCATTTTTAAAATTCATGCATATTTCATGTAGAAATTTTATTTTAAAGCTATGGCTATGGCTAAGTTACATAGCACACCATCTAGTTGGAAAAAGAAATAACTATTAAGTACAAAACTGAAAAGATAAATACATAAGCTTTTTAGAAATAAATCAAAAATTCACAAATTTAAAAAAAAAAATTAAAAAAAGTAAATATAATTAATATCAAAACAAATTTTTTTACAAACACAAATATTTAATCTTCAATCTCTAAAAATCAAATAATAAATCAATTTTAATTATATTATATTAAATCTAAAATAATATTAAATTTTAAAATTTATTGAAAAGCAAAAATGTTTTTTTAATTTTAAATTTTTCTATTTTCCTATTATTTTATATTATTTTTGTAAATTTTTTTCATAATTGCAACTAAGATTATTAGATATTTTTATTTTAATATATAAAAACAAATATGAATCACTAATATTGCTTTAAGTATATATTAAAGAATAAATAAAATTTTATATAAATAATATGTCTAATTTTTATTTAAATATTATACAATAATTTTTATATAGATATACACTAAATGATCAAATTATTATTATATTATAAATTATCATTCTTTTAAATTTTCAAAAATTCAAGCAAAAAATCTTAAAACGAATATAAAATTCATTATGAATTTAATATATATAAGTTAAATTTATAATTATAAGTATAACTTATAATTTTTAAAGATATATTCAATACAATATCTCATATTATACTATTAATTTTTTTTTATTTTTTACAATTTTTATATTACTATTAATTTTAATAATTTTCGTAAATAAAACTAAAAAGATATAAATTTAAATTTATAAAAAACCAATTAATTTGATTTGTTATAAATAAAAAAAATTAATAACGATTGCAAATGTAATAAAAATATACATCTTGTTATATATCAAAAGAATAATTGTCTAGTACATATCAAACTTAATATGTATTAAAAATACATGTTTTATCAATATAAAAGTTTTAATATTATCAAAAATATAATGTTACTATAATGTTATATGTATATAATTTTTTTAATAATAATATAATTAATTACGTATTACAAGTTTTTTTAAAAAGCATTCTTTAAAATAATCTAAGCAACAATGCTTTTCTCACATACATCATTGAGAAGCTCCCGTCTGTATTCGGATTCATCAATATCAATTTCGGAAGCAAGATCGGTATGATCGGTAACATAGCCATCATAATGTGCGCTGTTCGCCTCGCTACGTGCATATTCTTCCTCCTCCTCGACAGTACCGGCGATGGTCGGTATCGAAGCACCGCTTGCCAGTAGCATTACCACGCGTGGCACGAGGTCACCGGATAAATCTCATTCCACCCTCTTTCGTCTGTTTCCTAAAGTACAAACACATCATTGTAATCCTATCGATGTACATTCCTAATCTGTATAATGTTTGACGTGTTCATTCATACAAATTTCTATTACATTATTACTAATAACTTAATCTATTTAATATGATGATATTTAAAATAATGTAAGCTTAAAGAACTTTTAATTGTTATTTTTTTTTCGTAGATAAATCGAGACTTACATAATGAATTGTTATATCTTGTAAAAATATCTTCATAAATTTTATAATTGTTTATTTAAAATAATTATAATAATTTGTAATAAACGAAAGTATCAATTGATTATTTTCATAATGTTTAAATGTTGTCTTTGAAATTGTCTGAACAGATACGTAACGAACTATGCACCATAATACAGTTCGTGCGACGATATCGTTTCCATGGCAATGCATCGTCGATAGGTCTGACTACATATTATCTATCTACTATATCTTGCTATTATTCATGAAGTGCATTCACTATCTAATCAAAATTTTTAATCAAATATCGATTTCTTATTTTATCTTTATATGGTGTAAAAAACAAATCTCAAATTTAAAAAAATTGAAATAAATTGAATATAAATTGAAAAATTGAATATTTTAAATTACCATACGTGGCAATTAATTAATTTAATTAAATTATATCTTGTTAAAAAATTCAATAATTTTAAAATAATTAACAAAAATTTATTTTACAAAAAAATCCTTTCTCAATAAAATTTTAGAACATGAAAAAATTATTCTTTTATCGTATCTTTCTTTTTTCATATTCTTCATAATAATAATTAATAAGTGAATAATAGTTAACAATATTTAATTAAACATTAATAATTATTATTCCTGTAATTGTATATGATAGAACTAAGTAAATAATTTAAAAGATTTTAGGTACTAAAACAATTTAATAAACAAAATAATAAATTTAGTTTATAAAAATGTCCATTGTTTATTTATTAAGTTATTTATTTAAATAATTTAATTTTATTTAAATGAATTTTATTCATTTAAAAACGAAAATAAAGTTTCATTTCATTTAGTGCAAAATTAAAATGTTTATAATTTAATAAATAAACTTCAACAGATATTTTTGTATTTTTATTTTTTTATAAATTTTATGATTATTTTAGTTACTAGAATCATTTTTTAATTTTTCTATTAATTGTTTTGTTCAAACAAATTTATTTTATAAATTTTTTAAATATTTTGAATCTATTATTTTCTTTTTCTTATGCATTATCATTTACATTCCAAATATTTAATATATGATTAACTAAATTCAAAACATATAAATGAAATATATATATATATATTGTATATGTACCTATATAGATCTTTTATGTATTATAAAATGAATAAAATAGAAATAATCGTAAAATATAATATGATAATATGATAATAATATGATAATAATTATATAATATGATAATATTTTATAATATATAATGATCTGTAAAAAAAAAATGAAGAATAATATTTATTATTCTATAACATTTTATTTCACAAATATGTCAAATTATAAGCAACTATAAATTATTTTAAACTTCTTTTGTAATCTCTGAAATATATAATAAGTAAAAAAATATTTTTATTATAATAAATTCTAATTAATTTTTATCAATTTATTTAGAATTATTTATTTGAAATATTTAACTACTTCTTTTGTAATTTTTGAAATATATAATAAGTAGAAAAATATTTTTATTATAATAAATTTTAATT